TACTAGACATTGATTTATTTAGTTTTTTTTTAACATTAAATTGTGTATATAGTCAGGTTTAAATACCGCAAATTTCATTATTTTTCCTGAAGAAAATTATTTTTGGAAGAGTTTTCTTTCAAAACGTATTTCTTGATTTTTTATGTTTGTAGTTTAATTCATGGATATTAGATATACTTAATTGACCGTTGCTAGGTGGAAATATTTAAACAAATACTTAATGATTCCTAAGATAGCAAAATAATCGATTCAAAAGTAACCTAAATTAAGAATAATTAAAAGACATTAGACTAACTAGTACACTGGGGTTGTTTTCCAAAAAAATATTTATTTATTACGTACTTTTGGGTATGTTATATATATATATATTATATACCAATAAACGAATAAAATGAAGAATGTGACCCCCATATTCATTCGTCCACCTGGTACAACATATAAAATATCTCATTGCGGAAAAGATTCAGATTTCAGCGTTCGCTTTACTTTTTCGTGGTAGTTAAACACTTCCTAGTAAACACCGCATGCACCTACCATAATCAGCAATTTACTGTAGTAAAAATACCCATCTGTTAAAAGCCATCGTCTTAACGAAACGCGATAGCCGTATTCGGTTACTAAAAAATGGTACCGTGGAAAATGTAACACTTGCATCAACTTGGAATACAACCATTTAAAGGCGCATTTGCAAATACAGTTTATAAATAGTACATACAATGTAATTTTATATTCATCACTCGTCGGTAAATTATTATTAAGTTTGCTATTATAATAGCAACGAGTGCATTACAATGTTACCAACAAAGCGGTCAAAGACCTAAACGCCTATATTTTAAGTCTTTTATGAAAAGATTCGTAAAATGTAGAAATTACCTTAAATTCAATAAACAACATACAGTTTTAGTTTATTTCTTTTTGTACAGATAGATGCATATATAATAATCAATAAATAGGCACTCCATATTATATTTTATTTTTTGCAATATTATGATTTTTGAACGAATAATTACAAACAAATAACTTACCTTGCATCCAAAAATATCAGTTTCAAGTCCAAACTGGCCCGAAACATGAACATGTTACTGTGCAACTTAATTTCGGTGATAGCACTAGGAGGTAATGAATGCCCGACGGCGACTAGGCCCATATTTTGGAAACAGGCTTCATACGGAGACGAAGAGGCGGAAAATTGCTTAATTTTCAAATAACCGGAACAATGAATCACCTGCAACAATTGCAATTGTCGGAGTCATCATCATCATTACTATAACTGCAAACATTGTGATACGAAATGAATATTTATGCCCTAACTGGTATGTTTTCAGGATGAGTTAAAACCGAGCAAACGTTAAGTCAAAACCGAGCCACTTACGAGTACAGCACTAGATAATTGATGAAGTGATGATGAAAGTCTGTATTTTTAAATATCCTACAATTTTGTTAAAAGAAATAAGCACTTTGGTCAACTGTATCGAGTATTTTTCGTATTTTTTATAATCTAGCAACAAAATCATGTTGCTGGGGTAAAATATGGGCAACAATATATAAGCATTCATCTCATTTGTATTGATAGTGGCGTATTTATGCTCAGTATGTTTTTATGGTGACTTATAACCGAGTGCACATTGATTAGAAACCGAGTCGTCTAGGAGTACAACATTACGTATTTTATAATAGCTCCCTTAATGAATTACTGATGAACTATCTGCATTATTAAAGTTCCTACAATTTTATTAAAAGGAATATGAATTTTTGGTAACTGTATCGACTATTTGTCGTATTTTTTATAATGTAACAAGAAAATCATGTTGTTAGCGTAACAATCGATGCAAAAAGGACCAACATGGGTAACAATACACATGCAAATAAGTTACGTACACAAGTATTCATCTGATTTGCATCGAAAGGCGTACATTTATGCACGCCCGTAATTAGTATGGAAGAAAATAATTAGTATGTGCATGGTTGTAAAGGCTAATATGTTTCGGTGAAAAACTGCATAATTAACTCAAGGAACCAATGAAGCTTGAGTGCATGAGGTGTACACGTGTGACCGTTGCACTTGCATATCTCTGCACTAATTAATTTTTATGTAGAGGCCCTTTTCACTGACGGATGTCCTGCTACGTTTTCTGTTTTTTTTTTCTTTTCTATTAAAACAAAGAACCGACACCAATGACGGCATACAGACACAAAAGGGGGAAGTACCGCAATGGAAAGCATCGCGACAACTTACGTTTTCCTACACGTAGGAAATAAAGTTTTTATAATAATTAAAGTATAAATTAATGTAGTTGAAGTCCAAAAAAATTTGGACTGTAAATGCAATAAAAATTACCATTTTTTTTATCAAGAAATACGTACAACGTTGCTACAAATTAAATCATCACTTTTTAATGAACCGTTGGAAAAATTGTACTTTCAGGGGTTTCTTCTTGAATATTAAAGCAATAATGTAGATTAATTCATGAAGAATCTTGATCAAATTTAGTGATATTTGTATCAGAAATCGCATTTACTCTTTATTAGAAATTGCCATCCAAGCCGAAGAAAAACTCGTACTTTCAGGACTGGGGTAAGGTGAAAATTGAGATGAAAGTATGACATCCCTTTTCGCTTTCAACCCAGATGGCAAGTAACACCCTGGACGGAATACCAGCCGAGTATTTTCTTCTCTTGGCGCGTAACAAATTTTTTTTGAAAGGCGTGTATTTCCCAGGATGTACTTTGTTATACATATATTTCCGTAAGCTTAAACATTAATGACAGATTCGAAACTAAAATATGTTGAGATTGAGAATAATCAAAAAAGTTGTATTGTTGGTATGAGTGACACATCCGGGTTCTTTCAGGCTTTCTTTAGTTTTCTGATCGACTTATTAATGTTAATGCTTATTATTTGACAGTATTTTATCGTAACGAAAACAAAAAAAAAATAGGAATTTATGCAGGTATTACAGTAGAAGTCTCAACATTTTTTTTTTCGTTTTATATGATAGTGTACATTGCAGCAGAATAACACTAAAAGCAATTTATGAGTCAACATCAAACACCATTTCAGCCCCATTTAACTTCTTTTCCTCATTCAGTATTGCTGTGTCTAATATGCGTGTTAATTTAATTGTGCACTATTTGTTAAGACCGACTTCTATCACTCCGGCTTAGAGGGTAATCCTAATCCGCAATTTAGGAAAGCTGTGATACGCATTTATATACGTTACAGATATATATACAACTTTTATTGGCGTTTTTTGTTTGTTGCTGTTACATTGTTTATTTGAAGTGAGAAACGTGCCCGAACTTGCATTTTTGTGCGTTTAGGGCCGGATAAGAACAGGTGCAACAATGGCAAGGGTAATTTTTATCTAGGTAATTTATGCGGGGGCGAGTTTCATAGGCGAGCGCGTGACTAGACAAAGGATGCCGTTGGGGCGGTTTCATAGATCACACTTCGCTGTCAAATGTATTGTTGTTTATAGTCTTATGTATGTATTTGTTTCGTAATGCGTTTGTTACCTTTTGGCAACTGTAGTATTTGCTTTTTAACGGTAGCTCTAGTGTTATAGTAGCAAGGTATGCAGTTGAAGATGACAAAACTTTTCGCTAAATAATCATTCTGATTGTTTGTGTAAAAGATTTAAAGGATCTGTTATCTCTTCTTTTAAATATGCAAGATCACAATTTTTAATTTTGACATATTTGAGTTGTTATTAAACAATTGCAAAAAAATTAGCGGGTCTAATTCGGATATATAATTGGTTGCATACATTGCATACCTCCGTACGTAATAATTCTATTATGGTAATAAGTGAAAGTACTTACTTTATAGCCGCCGTTTGTTAGACCTGCATTCCGCTTGGCTAAAACGCATTTCATACGTAGAAAAAACAATCTTTCGGTTTCATAGTCATGTAGGGGTGGAGGTGGAGGAGCTCCGGGAACTGTAGGTAATGTAGGGCTTAAGACAGCAGTCATTTCGTCGTGATCCGCAGGGTGAATATACTCATATATGCTGTTTCCAGTGAGTTCAACCTGAAATAAAAACAAATGTTACTGTTAGACAGGGTAATTACGACATAGGGTTTTACAATAAATGAAATAATAAATAAAATTATTAACATAATTACATTTTAGTCAAAACTTGACTGAAACAATCTATCTTAATTCATTAATATGACAATTTTGGCTCTCTTTTTTAAAAGCTCATAATCTTTCGCTTTTAATTATTTATATACACTAAGAAAGTTAGGCTTAAAATTTCAATAACTCTGGTTGCTCAAAGCAAAAGCCCACAAGTTTACCTTTTAGTGAAAAATCAACTGAAAAAGCTGTTTTAATTCATCAATATGATAATTTTGATTAGAAAAATCAATTAAACCTTACTCAAAAGTAACAACATGCTGGGCTTTCGTTTTAAGTATATATGTGCTAAGAAAGTTAGGCTGAAAGTCCCAATGACTTTCCTTAACCAAAGCAAAAGCTCAAAGCTTATTTTTTAGTCAAAACTTAACTGAAAAATCTGCTTTACTTCATTCATAATTCGTTTGATAATGTGTTCTTATTAATTACTGGTAACTTAACAAATTATAGTTCAGATTTTGTATTATTGAAAATTAAGCTTAATGCCTCAACGAATCTTTTATTGCTCAAAAGATTACCTTTTAGTTCAAAACTTAATCAACAAATTTGTTTTAATTCATTGGTACGGTGATATTTTACTTAATACCTGACTTAACACCAATAATAATACAATATACTTAGACTGTTAGGGATATTTTTGATCTGTGCGCAGGTCTGGCTTGAATGTATGTCGTTTTTTAATTGTATTCATATGTGCGCAGGTCTGGCTTAAAAGTATATCCTTTTTTAATTGTATTCAATTTTTTTGTGTTTGTGCGTGACATATTTATATACATAGATAGGTATATGTGACCATTGTGGACACGCCTCTCTCAACTCTCATGAGGACTTTCGATGCCTTTGTTGCTTACCTTACCTGGTTCTTCGGGCAGGTGTTATAAGTTGTCAGATGGTTGGCAGTTGTACCCACTGACGCCATTTTTGTAGGTCGAAACTTTTTCTACAGCGTAAGTAACGTACAATCTGTATGTCTGCCCCATATTTTAAAATTTACATTTCTATTACTAGAAACGATTCTTCTTTAGTATTTAACGTGCTAATTTTACTGTTTAGTTTACTGTTTTTGTCGGAAGGACGCAATCTGTACCAAAAATTTTCTCAAATGACACATACGGCTATACGAGTTGTGTAACGTAACTAATACTACCTATTAGGATAGCGTAAATTACAGGCGAACTAACTTAAAACTAAACGTGAATTGGACACAGGTTTTATTGAAATAGTTAACTACAGCGTCTAATAATAAATAATTATAATTATAAGGTATTAGGGTTAATAATTACCTGTGATAAGCCTAAATGAACCGATGCAGTCTCAGATATGTACATAATCTTGCCATCAGGTGCAACTACAAAGATGAATCCGTCTAAAGTTTGTAACAGGTAAGATCCTAGTTCCTTGATTGGTGTTTCTCTTGGGTTTATAACGGGAGACGCACCCCATGCGTCCCCTAAACCTGAAAATAAACGTATATTGTGTAGAACACACCTGGAGTGAAAAGTGTGGATATAATAAGTTAGTTTCTCTGCCATCGTTAAAATGTGATGTTGTAAATTCTTTGGCGAAATCGTATAGAGATATATACAGTATTCTGTACTGTATAACAAGGATAACGATAATAAGTATTAGTAACAAAATAAATTTGAAATTAAAAGACATTATTTATCTATACATAAATGACTACAAATATCAGTCTCTTTGTTTCTTCTATTCTAAAAATTGTTAGCTTAGATTATTCTCATGAAATTATTTGTTTAAATCTTGCAATTGTTGAATTTATAGTAAAACTATTGAACCCTTCAAGTGCTTAATCTACGGAATTCCCCACACCTTCTTATAAAATCAAACTATTATCTGAGGTACCTACAAATCTGGGGAATCCCCGACCCGTCTCATAATATAGTATCATTATTCTTTCTTTCTTTATTTTGTTCGGTAATTTCAATATTGACCACTGCAGTCCGACTATAATAAAATATATCGCTCTTGGTGGTCGATTAGAATTTATATCTAAGTATTGTAAAAGTATATTAAGGACACTTACCGTCGGGAAACACTTGCCTCATTTTCAGGTAGGATGTGGTGAGTCTAATAACTGAGGCCTTATCGAGTTGCGAAGTAATAGCAGCGGGAAGGGGTAGGAGTTTTGCCAATTCCAAAAACTCAGCGTTCTCTTTTTCTCGTCTAGATCGCGCCGCGTTTTTACTCTTCTCTTTCATAGTGCAACGAAGTGGTTCAACTGGAACCACTGGAAATAAAATATACACTAATTAATACATTATTAATAAATATATCACAAAATTAATTAATAGAATTATAAATTAGATATTGTCCTTCATAATATTCGTACAGATTAGAAAGGAGTTAGGAATACTGTGATGCATTTCTATTAGAACTAAATTGCACAAAGTGCACAAAATGATACAAAATGGAGAAACCTCTAGTAAAATATAAATAAGAGATTTCTCTTAAATCCTGCATCCGAGATTTCGTGGGGATTCCCCAGCTTATATTGTCGCGTTTGTAAGTGTCTAGACTTGTCCTTGTCTTTCAGAAACCCTTTTAGCTGGTTTGAAATGCTTAAAATTAGGAAAAAATGAGTAAATTTGAAGTATCTAAGGTGTGTATGTTTTTCAAAAGATGTAGAGGACATAAATAGTAGGTAAAGCTCGGTAGACATTGTGTAATACATTAATTTTAAGAGATGGCAAAGGAAAATCCATAACAACCAACAACCGAATGCGTTAACATCATAAAGCGTTTTATTAAATTCTTATAAAATAAAAATAAGTATAATATTTCAATTTTCTCACACCTAATAGGGGTAATTTATTCTCAATCGTGTGAGAAAAACTTGTCTAACAAATAGAGTAGTACTATTACTACATTTTTGGCTATCGTTGAAATTCATTATAAAAAATTGTGAGCACTATTAACTAGTGAAGTCTGTGATACTGAAGATCGAGGAACACTGCGACAAAATGAGAAAAAACTTGTATTATGTACTTCAAATTCAAATTTCACACTTGACTATACAGTAGATGTGTACGTGTATCTATGTGTTTGTACGAGGCTGTGGTACAGGACTTGTACTAACGAATACATGAATAATTAACGGGAATTCTAAGCTACCAGACGAGACCCTCGAGCAAGCTGAGTCGTTACTTTATTAAAACGCCCTCTACCTCCCTCTTTTTAATAATTTGGTCGCTAATGAACTGCAACGGTGAAACTTTACTTGATAATTTGGAAATACCGTGGACTGCGCATTGTTATAGAATGTTAAAAAAGGATGAAAAACTTATCAACAATTCCTTACAGATAAACAAAAATGCGACACTTTTATAAAATTACCAATAGGCTTGTCTTTTTGGCAGAGGTGCTACTATCAAAAATCGTATGATGTATTACGGTAATTGGAGAAAATAATATGTAAATCGTAACGCACAAATTTTTCTAAATATTTTTAAGAAAATTCTGGAGGAACCAAGCACGCCTTTATTAGCTTCCGAAACTATCTAAACTAAAATTAGGATAAAGTTCTAAATGTAAATAAACATTTAATAAAAGGGCGGGCCTATTTGCTTTCAGCTTTTAAAGAATTGGTGATTTAAAATATTACCTATACGTAAATTTTTTATATTTTGGACAGTAAACAAAACTGCATGGTCGATTTTTTATGACATATCACTCAAAAACAAAAAATTCATCAACATTATTTTACCACCTTTAAGATTAGTTAGAAAACCATAATTAAATTTCAATTCCTAGTTCAAATTCTGACGTAAGAGTCTTATTTTTACTTGATACCTTTGACAACTTATGTTAGAAAACTACAACTGCAACAAAAGGAATAACACAGAGCACTAACAATCAACAAACTTACTAATATTATTACATATCTATTGATCTTGTGCTTTATGAGAAAAACAGTGTTGGCGCAATTCTTACACACCAACGAAATACATGAATGGATTCTCAATTCAAGTTGTATAATAAATATTCATTAGAATTTAAGGAATTTGAAATGAACAATCAACTTTAGGTATTTTGACTACTATTAGAAGTGCTTCTTCAGGAAGACGATAATAAAAGCAACTTAATACGAACTACATATTTAAAGTGTTGAGGCGTTGATTTTAGTAATCATTATAAAAAGTAATTACTAATTACCTGTTACGGTCGAGTGAAGGTTTACATTATAAATTGCTCATTTAATACAGAATTTCTATTGATCTTCTTCGGAAAAGTCATCCGCAGCGATAATCAATGACTTGGGTTATACATATAAAGTTACAGTAGGAAAAGACAACACGAGCGAAGTACATACACTTACTCTGACATCGTGATCCAAGATTGGAGAAAGGAAAATTAAAAAGTTATTTCATAAAGTAGAAATTTTCCTTAAGTCGAATAACTAACTGCATTAGGATTTCGAGTTAGGGAAGTTTAATTATACTTAATTCAGTTGTGAAAATTAATTAAATTAATTAAGCTCTTGGACTAATTAAGTAGGCATCAAACATATTTCTCACATTTCTATTAAATTAAAATCACAATTTTTAATTGATCATTCAAAATATTTCTGTATAATTTCTTTTGATCTTTATTTATTCAATTTTTTTATATCGAGTCAATAAATTATTATCTACTTACATGACGATAAACGAGGAAATTTTCTTTGCAGTAGATCTGGATGATATCTCATTACAAAAACTTAACACTTAATTAAGTACGTACTGTCTTTGTCACCTTTTAAACAATTCGCGCCTTCAAGAACCCGATTAATTGTAGGTGGCTGCGATACTGAAAGCTTCCTTGCACTTTACCTTGTACTTATAAACATTGAATGAAAGTGCGAAAGCTCCATCCTCATAGGTATTTGTCTCATCCTGGTGATCGCCCAGATAAATTTTCAGGATAGTTTTCCAATTCATGACCGAAAAGTAGCATTAAAATTTTTGGCCGAACCAAGTTGCCTCTTTTACAACAGGTAGGTGGTGAAATTTAGGAATTCCCATGTTAATAAAAGACTTACGGACAGGTATTAAACATTAGAATGTCGGCCACACAAATGGCTTCCATAAAAATTAGTTATAGTTATAAACAGTGTAAAGTGCAATCATATTTTGTGGTTTTAGTTTTTTATCAATAAAAAATTAGCTAAAAGACTAATCGAACATAAAAGAAAATCAAAATTATTAAATCTTTAAAAACATCTCAATTTTTTCATATGCTGACTCGCAAATTTAATTAGCGATCATGAATAATAAAAAGAACATGAAATAATCAATAAACGGGAAGTGTCCTGTATTTTCCACGTGTTACTAGGTAATTAACTCTTTCTATTGTTAGAGGCGACACATTATAATACTCTACGACTTTCAACAACAAACGTTCTTTGATTAGTTGCGATTATTTAATTTGCATATAATTGATGCACGAACTGCCTACTGATTCGGGTAAATAATTGAAGCCCGTTTATTTGGCAATATTTATTTGGTTAATTACATTGAATTCATTCGGAAAATGGAGTCTAATTTAACTATTATTACAACAGCATTCAAGTTTAGACAGAAATATATCGTGTTTTAGCATTAAAATATATAGTTTGTTGCAAAAGTGCTTTTTAGTATGAGTATTTGTTTAAATAAATAAAAAAATTAACTATAATCTATAAGCTACATTAGTTCTGTATCCATACAGACCAATAGCACCACTCAATTCGCTCAGAAAAGCCTGAAAAACGGTCTAACATTGATCAATGTTTCGGAGACTTCAACGTTGCGTCAAGCGACGAACCCTTTCTTTTAAATTATATTAGTCGCGATAAGATCAAACCACGATCTTGAAATTTGGTATACAAAGGTTTTTCGACATGTTCTATCCATTAAAAATAGTTTCATCGCAGTAGCACTTCCGGTTTCTACCGGAAGTAGTTGCCAGATTTGCTGTTGTTCAAAATATGAGAAATCTTCTCTAATAGTTACAATTTTAGTTTGAATGTGCCTTTATTTTATGATTAACATTTAAATTATTTATTTTTTTGTATCTAATTGAAAGTAATTAATTGAAATAGATGCATATGTACCTAATTAACATAACTTATTGACGTTTCAACTCAAGTCAATATCATCCTGAAAGTGAATTATACAAAAAAAAATCGTAAAGCAAAAACACAAACTCGTACACATATACAATAATTTTGACTTATTCCGGAAGCTGTGGACGAATGTGCTTTTGTTCTATGTATCTCGACCTCCTTTTCTGAGACAAATTTATTGTCTTCAAAAACTTGCTATTATCAAAAACAAAAGTTGAAAATTTTGAGTTGTGGCTACATCTTGATATCTTGATTGTAATATTAGAAAAAAACAACTTTTACGTTCTTCAGACACCTTTTTATATAGACTACAATGGTGTCGGAAAAATTTAAAAAAAGTCATCCCCTTTGAAGTTATGACATAAACTTGTATTTTTTTAAATAGGAAACGTAATTGGTTATATTTTAGTTAAAAAGATATTTTTTTTGTCCATTCAAATATACTTAATATCGTATGTGGGGTCGCATTCGACGGATAAGCATTTAATTACGAAAATAATCTTTTGGTAGTGTACCCCTTTGCGTTTTTTATATTGATTTCTAGTGGGGGTCTGTTATCTATGTGGTAGTGTGCATTTGTTTGATTTTTTATTTGTGTGTAACTACCTACGCGCTGAAATTTGTCTAGCAATCAGTTTTAATGCAACCTGTCTTTACCGTGGTATAAAGTGACAGGTTGGGATTTCCCATGGAAGCTTACCTTTTCGTAAGTGAGAACATCTGGAAGCATTTAGAAAATAATATTTACGCATAGCGACCTGCTGCATTTGAATTTTATCATTTGGGAGTGGTATTTCCTAAGGTTTCTCACACCCCTGCAATGAAGGTAATAATGGCAATAATAATAAAACAGTTTCCGAATTCTTTGAAACTTTGCCCATGGCAAGTTAGGTATACCTATTAACACTACACCTGAGTTTACGGTATCCCATTCAATGAATTGTGAAACAAGTGAAAAATGTGGGTACAGTTAACATTTTTAACTGAATTTAAGTTAGGTTAACAGGTAACCATCATGCGTTTGTTGTATCATTATTGTGTTGAAATTTTCAATCATTGGTTTTATGCATAAAAAAATAGTTGACATTGCAACATTGATTACCTATTGATTTGAAACGGGAAACTATTAATTGTTTCTACTGTCT